CTATTCCTCCTCTTCCTCGTCCTCTTCCTCCTCTTCCTCCTCCTCCTCCTCCTCATCCTCCTCCTTTTCGACGTTGCTCGGACCTGAAGCACGGGCTTGTGGCGTTATATCTCTCCTCTTCCTCCTCCTCCACCTCCTCCTCCTCCTCCTCAAGCACATGCGGCGCGCGACCGGGCGCCATCCCCCTTTTTGGCTCCAACAAGTCATGCAGCCACTCTCGTCGTCTCATCGCGACGTGCTTGTGGCAACCTGGAGAGCCTGCAGCATTCACTGGTGTGGGTCTTGCTGTTCTCGATGGGTTGGCTAAGATCGGGGGGAATGCATGCAGGCACATGTTCGAAGCAACTTCCGCATCGTTGCTGGCCGCGTGTGACTTTGCGTTTTACTTCGTCTACGTCGCTTTTGTGCTGACAGGGTGCAGGCCGGGCCCTTTGTACCTGAGTTGTCACGCTTTCCTGTGCATCGATTACGTGGTCCGTCCGAGGCTGCAGGGGCAATGAAGGGAGCCGCTGTCATTTACCCACCCGTCTGTGGTCTGGGCGTATTTCAGGCGAGCGGGTGTTGTTGTCACGACCATCGTGGAGGACATCCGCCCCAGGTGCAGGGGAAATGGGGGGAGCCGCTGGCATTCTCCCACCCGCCTGTGGTCTGGGCGTATGTCAGGCAAGCGGGTGCTTTTGTCACGACCATCGTGGAGGACATCCGCCCCAGGTGCAGGGTCGATGGGGGGAACCGCTGGCATTGACCTACCCGCCTACATGGGCGTATTTTAAGCGTCGTGCTGGATTGGTGGCTCGTGATATGCATCGTGAGTGCGTGGGACACTCTCCCCAGCCCGCCGTGTCCACTGTCGCTCTCTCTGGCCTTAGATGTGCATGTACTGGTCATTTTTATGTCACAGAGGCTTGAAAGAGGTCAAAAGGTCAATTCGTGTTCGTACGCGGGTATGGTCTTCTGTATCGATGTTGCGGGCTGTCTGTGGAGAATGCGATCCCTTTTGGGGGTTGCCCGATGACCAGTGATGAGTTGTCACGTCATTGAACAAGGGTCGCATCGAGCCGATTTCACCTCAGCTGAACGTTGTCAATATCTACGGTTGTGGCCGTGTACGTCTCATACGATTCCCTCACATACTTGGAGATGCCCAGTGGGTGGCCGTTATGTGTAAGGCTTCGTATTTTGAGCATGCTTATGATCCTCCTGTTCCTGCTCCTCCTCCTCCTCCTCCTCCTCCTCCGTCTTCCTTCCTCCTCCTCCTCCTCCTCCTCCTCCTCCTCCTCCTCTTCCTCCTCATCCGCCAATTCCTCATCCTCCTCCTCCCTCTTCCGTCCTCCTCCTCCTCGCCCTCCCGCCCTCCTTCCCCTCATGCTCCGATTGCTCCATCCTCCCCCTCTTGGGGTGTGACGGCTTCCCCAGACCTTTTTATTCCGCTGCCTGCTTCTCCGCATCCCTGATCAAGAATACTCGCCGGGCATCGTTTCTGGATGGGCTGATGGGATTACTTTTTGGTCAGCGGCTCTGAGGCGGCGGACACGGAGCGGAAGGCGACTGATGGGATTACGCGAAGCGTTTAGAATTGGGCTCCAAGACGGCCCACGGTCGCCACGGGGCTCCGAGTTCGCCTCCCACATTCCCCAAGCTTCGTAAACTCTGGTCTCAGCACGTTGCGCAACGACGTCGGATTCCAATTTCGCCTCGCTGGTTCCCTCGTTTCGATCCCCCCTGTCCGCGACATGGTATGCGAGAGCATTGGATACGGAACCCGTAGATAAGGAATCCAGGGCCTGGAAGCCGCTGGAATACCAATTAAGGCTTGGCACTGGATGCCACCGCCGCCCTCATCAGATAATTGAGGGATCCTCCGGGGTCTGGCGCCTCCTGGGCACACTTCTGAACGAACGCCCACGCCGTAAAGCAATTATGAAGCCAACTGGTACATCGTGTTGTCGACTTCTCTGGGCTTCACCAGGGTCTCCTCGGGGCCTGAAGGGGAACGTCACCCTCTTGGGCATCGCGGGTCCCCCTGCGAGGGCCCCACAAGGGCTGCGAGGGAATCAAAACACGACTCGAAGCAGGACGCACGAGCGAAGGGATGTACAACCAAAACTACCAAAGTTACACGCTCCTGCCCTCCCGACCCCTCCCCAAACGCATCCATCATCTGATGACTCGCCCACTCCTCCTCACTCCTCCTTCTCCTCCATCTCCACATGTCCTCGCTTGACCCAATCGCGTTCTCATCATCCCTCTCCTCCCCATCCTGCTCCCGCTCGTCCTCGCCCTCAGCCCTGCACATCACCACGGAGCAGCTCCGAGAGGGTTCGGCGGAAAGGCGCAAGCATCTGGGATAATCTTGATCTGCGCACCAGCGTCGGGGTCTGCAGCAGAGGTGAGGAGGATGTTTTCTATGGACAGGTCCCCGTGGACGATCGACAGGTCATGCAGGTACTGGATGGCATGGGCGATCTGCCTGGCTAGCGGCTTCACGCGTGCTTCCCTCAGAGGGCCAGGCTCCTCGACGAGGTTGGACGCCCAACTGAACATGTCGCCCCCGTCTGCGAACTCAGTGACTATGCTGGTCATCTCCTTGTCCCTGAAGACGCCTAGCAACTGCACACAATAAGGATAACCAACACTGTTTAGGAAAGCATTGCAGCCAATGTCGTTCCATGGCTGTTCGGTCTCGTTTGGTCGAGCACGCTTGAATGCTTCGTGCGACTTCTGGATCCAGGAGTTTGGCATTTGCTTCGTGGCAACGAAGGTGCCTTGGGTCAGGTCACGCATCAAGCAGACGGTGCCGAAGTTCCGGCTGGCATCCTCTATTTTTCTCACGAGCTCGAACTGGTCGTGTGGGAAACTCTGCACAGCAGCCTTGTCAAAGCCCGTGTGCAGCTCTGGTGGCGCTCTCCTGGACGCCTTCGCCGGAGTCGGCTCGCCCAAGATGACAGACTCGTCGAGGTCGATGTCGAGGTACTCGCTCTCGAAACACGACGACACCTGCGCGGAGAACGGCGCCGGCTCTGGACTGCTGGCCGCACCACTGGGGTCAGCTCCCGGGTCCTTTCTTCTCGCGGGGTGAGCGCACGCTAAGCCACCCAATGGGCCAATCCTCTGGAGCACGTCGAAGCCGATCCCGAACTGCAGCACGGGGCCCGTGGCGCCTGGCAGGATGGTCTTGATACCGTCCTGGCGCCTGGCAGCGGCCGAGTACCAGAACTGCTTGCTCAGCACCAGCTCGACGGAGCCGACGTTCTTGCTGAGGCGCGCGAAGGCCTGCTGGCAGAACCTTTCCAGTTCCTCCGTGTCGGTGTTCGTCTCCCACTCCTCGGGGAGCCTGGCCTGCAGGCCTAGAATGAACGGTTTCTCGTTGAGCTCCACCTGCTTCAGGTAAAACATGTTCTTGAAGAGCTCCCCTGACTTGGTTGCGTTGGTCTGGACACATATCAGCTCGCCCTTTGCCAAAGAAGATGCCCAGTGGCACCGCTTGATGTACTCCGACAGGTTCTTGTCGGACAACTCAAGGGGTTGACCCTTTGTGTTGCTGACATAACTTCGGCACTTGAAACGGGTCTCGTCGTCGATGAACTCCTTCGGCACGCCGTTGAGCAGAAATCGGCAATTCCGGCCGATGATCTCCGACACGCTGTAGCCCGTAAGCTCGGTGAAGCCCTCGCTGCAGGCTATCAGCGGGCAATCTTCCTGCAGCGGGTCGGCTATGGTGACGGAGAGGTCCAGGTTCAGGAACGCGTCGTAGTGCCCGACGGAGTCCACGAGCTCCTGCAGCCGAGCTGCCCCCTCGAACTTCTCCGCATCGCCGGTGAGGGGCAGGGCCATGCGCACCCCGCCCCCGTCCCCGGGGGCTCCGCACTCGCGGCCGTGCCAGGGCACCCCAGCGTGTTCGCCGGGGGGGCGGGGCCGTGCGGTCTGAAGCCTCGCCCCCCCGGGGGGGGGGGAAGGCGACGCACCCTATTGAAAAACGGCTGTGGGCGATGCGCGAGGTGGCGGCGGAGAGAGGTGGTGCTGTTCTGGCGGTGGTGATCACGGCCGTGTTCGAGGGTGGCAGTGGCGGTGACGGCGGCGGTGGCGTTGGGCAGCGGCGGCGACGACAGCGGCGGTGGCCGCGTTGGCTCGACAGACGCAATGCGGCACAAAGCATGAGCTGCACTGCCGTGGGGAGGAAGCGCAATGTCACAGAGCGGCTGTAAAGTGAATGCCCCCATGCGCCGCCACAAGTGTGCGAGCGGCCGCCACATAGTGTACAGTGCGGACGCGACCTCGAGAAAACATCTAACGAAACCCACCCCCCGCAAATCCGCGCGCGAGGTGCAATCGGAGCGTGTTGTCCTCCTCCTCCTCCTCCTCCTCCTCCTCCTCCTCATCCTCATCCTTGCCCTTCTCGTCCTCCTCCTCCTCCTCCTCCTCCTCCTCCTCCTCCTGCTCCTGCTCATGCTCCTCCTCCTCTCCTCCCCTCCTCCTCCTCCTCCTCCTCCTCCTCCTCCTCCTCCTCCTCTTCCTCACAGGGCCAATGATCCGTTGGCAGACCTCCGCCCCAGAATACCACCTCCACCTCCTCCTGCTGATGACCCCGTCCCGCCTGACAGCACCACTTGCTCGGCCGCCGAAAGAGGCGGGCCCAAAATGCGGGCTGCAGACGAAGCCGTGAACACACGAGCGACGAAAAGAAGCGCGTCTTGCACAGGATGCCATCGCGACCTTACGCAGTGGCTTACGCGGGCCGCCAGCGCGGCACACTGCGTTGGAAAAGAGGGCGCGCACGCGCGACCCTCCGCGGGAAGCCTGCGCGCCAGTGTCGGTGAAGACGAACCCGTTTTCCTTCGCCGAGCACACGAGCAAGCCGAGTCAGAAATGAGACGCGCTCGAGCTCGTCGGAAGACATCGAGCAGAACGCAAGAGCAAGCAGCATCGGCAAGCCGCCCTCCCCGAGCTCGCAGGATGATGCCCAGGAGGAGCGCAGCCGGAGGAGGGTCTGGCCGGCTGTCCTGCCCGAGCTCGCAGGAGAAGGCCGCCGTCTTCAGCGCCACGTCCCACTGCGCCATGGAGCCGTGGCAGGTCACGACGACGTACTGCATGCGCGAGTCCTTCGCCCTCACGAGGCAACACCCCCAAGGAAATCAGCACGTCTTCGGACGCCCGCGAGGCTTCTGGGGGGAGGAGGAGGAGGAGGAGGAGGAGGAGGAGGAGGAGGAGGAGGAGGAGGAGGAGGAGGAGGAGGAGGAGGAGGAGGAGGAGGAGGAGGAGGAGGAGGAGGGGAGGGGGAGGAGGAGGAGGAGGAGAGGAGGAGGAGGAGGAGGAGAGGAGGAGGAGAGGAGGAGGAGGAGGAGGAGGAGGAGAAGGAGGAGGAGGAGGAGGAGGGGGAGGAGGAGGAGGAGGAGGAGGAGTTGCAAGTCCTGCGCAGCGTCGGGCCCAGCGTCGGGGCCCCCGGACCATCACAGATCTGTCCGGGCTCAGGAAGGTGCCGCAGAGAGACGGGGCCCGGGGCTCCCAACCGTGACTTTCCTAAAGGCAAACAAACCTACCTCGCTTTTGACCACCCTCGCTTCCAAGTGATACCAAGTGATGCCAAACTACGGCCTGTACTGGTCAGGCCACTTGACGAGGAGGCGCTTTCATGACGTTGTGATCTGTCTCTGGCGTCGGATTTCGGGGACACGCCGCCGGCCCCCCCCCCCCCCCCCCTCCCCCCGCGCGCGCGGAGGGCGACCCAGCCGGCGCAGGGGGCGCCGCCAGGGAGTTGGGGCTGGGGCGGTCCACCACCGACCCAAGGGCCAGTGAGCGCTTTTGCCTCAGGGTTCCGACACTTGAGCGACGATCAAAAGAAGGGGTCTTACGCGAGATGACGCAGCGACCTGACGCCGCGGCTTACGCGGGCCGCCCGCGCGGCACGCCACATCTGATGCGAGGGCGCTCACGCGCGACCTTACGCGGGGAGCTTGCGCGCCAATGCTGTCGCAGTTGGGCCCGTTGTTCTGTGTCGCCCAGCTGGGGGAGAAGGGGGGCGTCGGGGTCTGGGCCGAGGCTTCGACGATCTGCTTTGCCGGGCCGCACAGGCAGGCTGGGGGGGGGGGTCCTGACCAGCCGCCAGAAGCAGCCGCCAAACGCAGCCAAGATCTGGTCTGTGGATTCTCTAGGTAGGAAAAGGGTATGGTATAAAGGGGTATGGTGCTAATATTATGTAAAGGGGACTCTGGCGATATCGCAGATAGCATCGCCATTTCCACACCCCTTTCCGATCTCCAGATGGATGAGGTGGGAGGGGGCGTGGCAGGGGGCGCGCGCCGATCGGCGAAGCAATGGATACAAGCCGCTACTGGCACGCGTATCCCCCGAGGCCTGATGCTTCCCAGGAAGCTGGAAGTCACATGGGCGACGAAAAGTAGGGGGCCTTGCGCGAGATGGCAAAGCGACCTTACGCTGCGGCTTACGCGGGCCGCCAGCGCGGCACGCCTCATTGGAAACGAGGTCGCTTGCGCGCCATCTTACGCAGGCAGCTGACGCGCGAATGCCGGCGCAGTCGAACCCGCTTTTCCTGCGTCGTCCACGTGGCTGGGCTCACGTGCGGAACCATCGGGGGTAAGACCTCATCGTCCTCGGCGAACGACCCGAGTCCCAAAACCGTGCGGTGACCCCGAATCCCCACCGACTCACCGCACGGTGTGGTCACCACCCCGTCTGGGGACCCCCGTGTACCGCGGGTTCGCGTCGTGACGACCCGGCGACGGTTCCTGACACAATGGGGTCGTTCAGCCTTGAACGATGGGCCGTTCCCGAAGCGTCGGATCGTTCCACATCGACCGAGTCTGGGTCGCCAGCGGTGTTCCACCTTGAGCGCCGGCGGCGGGGTCGCCGCCTGACGGCACGACGCGAACTCGCCGTAGCCGGCTTCCTGGTAACGTGTCCCGATTGGTTGCCCCTCTGCCTCAGCAGCTCCAAGAACGCGCCAGGGGGAGCGGCGCCCGCGGCGGCCTGCTGGTGGCGCGCGCCAGAGTGAGGTGGCCAAGAGGGGGGCGGACCTCTGAGAGGCCCAAGCGGCCGGCGTTCTAGGAGGCAGTTGCTTCGTTGTGTTTCTTGTTTGCTGTGTTTGGGAAATCCGCTTTAGAATGCGGGGGACTTCTTAGAAACCCACCCAGCCTCCAGGGAGGCTTCTCAGAAGCTCTCGTGCGCTTCTAAGAGCCCCCCCACTCTGTAGGAAGCTTCCCCGCCTTCTTAGAAGGCCACTCCCCCTCGCGTCCACTTTGGCCAGACGCGGACGAGGCTTACCAACTCGGGCCCCTGGCCGCCGTTCAGGAGGATTCGGGCACCCTCGGGACGCTCTCGGCGAGGCGCAGCTGCTGGAGAGCACCCAGGGGCTGGAAGGCCGTCGGGAACCGGCGAGAAGGCCACAGGACCTCCGATCGAACACCTCGAACCTCGAATCAAAGATCTTGTGTGCGAGGCGGGGATTTATCCATAACTACCGCCTGGGGGACCGAGCTTCGGGAACGTCGGTGGTAGGCGGTGGATCTGGATCACATCCCCCTTAGGGCCCACACTTACATACACGCATACGTACGTACATACGCACGCCCGTACTTACGGACATACAACCATAACTACACACTTCACAGCATCCACAAACATACATGCCGGCATGCAACTATATACATACATACACACATACACACATGCATACATACATACATACATACATACATACATACATATATACATACATACCTAAGTACATACATACATACATACATACATACAGACAGACAGGCAGGCAGGCAGACAGACATGCATGCATGCATGCAACATGTATACATGCATACATGCATGCACTGATACATACATACGTACATACATACACATGCGCATACACATACACATACATATGTACATACATACACGCATACACATACGCATACACCTACACACATACATTTACATATACGCATACACATATACATACATACACATATACATATATGACTGTATAACTACATACATCCAGCCATACGTACATACACACGTGCACACGTCCACACAAACACACATGCGTACACACAAGCACATACACACATACATACATACATGCATGCATGCATGCATGCATGCATTCACACATACACACATACAAACACATATATACATATACAAAAATGCATACATACAGACAAGAATGCATGCGTGCATGCATGCATACATACAGGGGAACAAACACGGCCATCCATACATGCACACACATACACGCATACATACATACGTGCGTACATACACACATACACATAACTACCTATCTACCTACCTGTATTCACACATACATGCATACATACACACATACAGACATACTTACACACAAGCAACACACACCGACAACAAACAAACACACAAACAAACAATAAGTCAAACAACCACACATCCATATATATACATGAGTATGTAGACATGAACAAATGTGTTTGCCAGCGTGGGCTCCAAACAACAAGTGTTTGAAAGCTAGGCGGTGCAATCTAGTTGGTGCGATCAATGTGGTGCAATCTAGATGGTGCAATCCATGTGGTGCGCAAACTATGTGGCGCAAAGCAATGCACAGAAATGCAAAACAATGAAAAGCAACGCAAAGCATCGCAATACGAAACCATGTGAAGCAATGTAACGCAACGCAAGTCAACGCACACCGATGCCACCACCATTCGAAGACATGCAATGCAAAGCCATGAAAAGCAATGCAAAGCAGTGCTTAGCAAAGCAAAGCAATGACAACGACGCAAAGCAAAGCACAGCAGTGCAAAGCAGTGCAACGCAATGAAACGTAATGCAACGCAGTGCAAAGGAACGCAAAACAATACAAAGCAGTGCACAGCATTGCAAACCATTGCAACGCAACGCAATGCAGCGCAGCGCAACGCAACGCAATGCAAAGCAACGCAATGCAAAGTCACTTAAGCAATGCAAAACCATGCCAGCTAACGCAAAGCATTGCAACACCAAGAAGCGCAATTGAAACGCAATGCTACTTTGCAAGACAATGCCCAGACGACGGGCGGCGACGGCGGCCACATGGCGGCCAGAGCGGCCCGCAGGCCCAGGCCCTGGGCCTCGGGCGGCAGGCGGGCTGACAGTCCCGACGCCTGAGGCGTCGGGCGGCGACGGGCTGACAGTCCGCCGAGGCCACCGAAGATCGACCAGCCGGGTGGTGGTTCTGGATAAATCCCCCCGCCTCGGATTGTGCTCCCAGCCGAGGGGCGCAACGGTGCCATGGGGGTGGGGGGGGGGCACCAGAGCAACCCCAGCCCACCCTGGCCCTGTCACTAGTGGAGGCCTCCTGACGATGGGTCCGAGCAGATGGTGTCGGAGGCTTGCGCCGCATCGCCAATGCATCGGCGATGGACGCACCGGCGCCATCGGCGTGGAGAAACTCTTGCTATGCACGGCGCCGCATCGCCGATGCACCGGCAATGCGGCGCGGTCCTCCGGCACCCTCTGCTCCGACCCCCTCCGAGAGCCCCAGAAGTCACACGCGCCGTCCAAAGATGGCCGCGCCGCCGATCCTCGGAGCCCCAACGCGAGCCTGCACGGTCTCCCCCGGGGCCGCAGGCGACCCGAGGAGGAGGAGGGGTAGGAGGGGGAGGGGGAAGAGGGAGGAGGAGGAGGAGGAGGAGGAGGAGGAGGAGGAGGAGGAGGAGGAGGAGGAGGAGGAGGGAGGGGGAGGAGGGGGAGGAGGGAGGAGGGGGAGGAGGAGGAGGGAGGAGGAGGGAGGAGGGGGAGGAGGAGGAGGGAGGAGGAGGGAGGACATGGAGGAGGAGGAGGAGGAGGAGGAGGAGGAGGAGGAGGAAGAGGAGAAGGGAGGAGGAGGGAGAGGATGAGGACGGGTCGCCTAAGCCCTTCGGAGAAACCCTCCACGCGAGCCCTCGGGCGGCGGTGGCTACGGGCCCAGCACTCGGCCCAAAGGTCGGGGCAGCAGCCCCCACCTACCGCGCGCCTCGCGACCCCACGGTCAGGTCGGGCACGTCCCCTACAGGCGGATCTCGAGGGAAAAACTCAAAACAGAACAAACAAGCCAGACACATATCCCAAAATAATCAACACATGCTAGAACAATTCGTCCCCTTAGTATTTCCCTACCTAGGCTCTGCCTAGAAGGGTTCTTACTCTCTAGCTCAAAGGGGCCGGGCAGTGGAAAGCGCCCCGGGCGGTTCCCCCAGTCCCCGCCGCGTTTCGCTTAGCGTTTCGCTTAGCGTGTAGCTTAGCTTTAGCTTAGCTTTAGCTTAGCTTTAGCTTAGCTGTAGCTTAGCTGTAGCTTAGCGTTAGCTTAGTTTTAGCTTAGCTTTAGCTTAGCTTTAGCTTAGCTGTAGCTTTAGCTTATAGTTAGCTTAGCTGTAGCTTAGCTTTAGCTTAGCTGTTGCTCAGCTTTAGCTTAGCTTTAGCTTAGCTTCATCTTAGCTTTAGCTCAGCTTTAGCTTAGCTGTAGCTTAGCTTTAGCTTAGCTTTAGCTTAGCTTTAGCTTAGCTTTAGCTTAGCTTTAGCTTAGCTTTAGCTTAGCGTTACTGTTACTACTAATGCTGATTTCCTAGGGGATCCAACTCCTAGGTAGGGTCGCACTGGGATAATTTTTGACTATTTTGGGGTACTCCTATTGTCGAGGGACAGGCCCGACTTAAGCCAACGGCGCAGCACCGCGGCGGCGGCCCCTGGACCTGTCCAGGCATGTCCCGATGGGAGGCCCGATGGCTGCCCCGATGGCTGCCCCGATGGCTGCCCCGATGGCTGCCCCGATGGCTGCCCCGATGGCTGTCCCGATGGCTGTCCCGACGGTTATCCCGATGGTTGCACCCATGGTCGCAATTTCCCGCCGTCCCCTGATCGGTGGCCATCGGGTGGCGTTGGAACACCATGGAGGCTCAGGCCGTCCGTTCGCCCTTGCATATACACGGGCATGATCGGGGGTGAACGAGGAGGAGGTGCGGGTCCCGATCATGCACTCCACCACCACCACAACCTCCATATTCCACCCCCCCTCCCTCTTCTTTGCCCCCCTCGTCCTCGCCTCCTTCCTCTCAGAGAGAGGGGATGAGGTCGGTGGTGGTGGTGGTGGTGTGTACTCTGGGGCCCCCTTGGAGGGGAGGCGCGGGCGCACCGCGGAGCCTGGCTGCGCACCCGCGCGAACGCCTCACCGCTGACGGCCCCGCGCTCCGCCCGGGGGCCCTGCGCGCGGAACGGCGCGGGGGCGTCGCCCGGCACCCGGAGCGGCAGCGCCTGGGCGTGCGCCGGAGCGGCCGAACCCGGTGCCCGCCCCTCTGCGGTCGGCAGCGCGCACCCGAGGCGCTCGACTCGCGGCTCGAGGCTCGAGGCCCGAGGTTCGAGGTTCGGTTCTGTGGCGTTCTCGCCGGTTCTCGGGGGCCTCGCGGGTGGGGGGGATATATATCCCCATCCGCCGCCTACCGCCGACGTCCCCGGAGCTCGGTCATCCAGGCGAGGAAGGCCCCCAGAGTGCCCCAAGACTGCCCAAGCCCGCCAAGCGGGCCCAAGAGGATCCCGGGACAGCCCAAAAGGGCCCCAAAAGAACCCCAAAAGGACCCCCAGAAAGGCCCAGAACTGCAATTGTCACTTACTGTCGCAAGGTTAGTTGCTAGATTTTTGCATGTCGCACCGCCGCCTTCACACCAACAGGGCTCCAAGACACTCAGCCAGCGACCTCGCGCCCTCAAACAACAAAAAAAACGCTCTCCGTTCCCATGCCAAGCAGTCCTAGCGGCCTGGAATCTTGTCGGGGCCGTGGAAAGCCGTCAAGGCTGTCGCCCCGGGGCGGCGGGGCAGGGGCGCGAGAAACATCTCGATCGAGCCGCCCGGCAGGAGGCAAGCGACCGCCAAATCGGATGGCTTGAGGCGGCTGTCGGGTGGCTGGGGGGGCAAAGGAAGCCGCTAGATCGAGTGGTCCGGGGAGGAGGCGGAAAACCGCCAGATCTAGTGGCCCGGAGCAGCGCGGGGGCCGGGAGGCCGCGAGGGGCGGACACCCGGCAAATGCCGGCCACATGCTGTGGATGCCATGACAATGGACACTCTCACAATCCTATCATCGAACTCAAGATGTGGTTAAACATGTGTAAGACATATTATAACAATGTTTCAAACATGGTTTTTCATATTTAAACACATGTTTAAATGTTTTACACATCTGGAAACTATTTGGCAGCGCGCTTCCTCTCCATTCATCGACTTCCACAGGCTACATGTTTGGTCTGGACGGCCACGGTCCCTTGCAAAAAGAGCATTTGGCATGCACATGGCCGTGCTCTCACCCCTGCCTGGGCATGTTTTCACTTGCCGACCTTCTGCTCAACGCTTCCTCTGGTCCCAACTCCTTTTCCTTCCTGCCCCCGTCAGGAGGAGGAGAATGCACGGCTCCCTTCCGTCGTCGCCACGGCATACGTGACGTTGGGACGCTCTGCGCTCTGTGATGCAACCGCGCCGCGCGCTAAATGTCGCGACGGCGCCACGCGCAATGTGGTCACGCGCCATGTTTGCGCCCTGCACTCCGCCGTGCTGCCCAGGAGCCCACAAACGTCGCGCCAGTTTCGCAGGTCGCACACCTCGACGGAGTCGCGAGGTCTCAAACGCTCCGCGCTGCCCTGCACTCTGCCATGCTTCTCAGGAGCCTAAGCAAGTGGCGACAATTGCGCAGTTCGCAGCCCCCGACGGAGCTGCGAGGTCTCAACCTGCGTTGCCCTGCACTCCGCCATGCCTCCTAGGAGACAGCGAAAGTGCCGACAATTGCTCAGTTCGCAGCCCCCGACGGAGCCGCGAGGTCTCAAATGTTCCGCGCTGCCCTGCACTCCGCCGTGCCTCCCAGGAGCCCACGAACGTCGCGACAGTTGCGCGGTTTGGAGCCCCCGACGGAGCCGCGAGGTCTCAATCTGCGTTGCCCTGCACTCCGCCGTGCCTCCTAGGAGCCCGCGAAAGTGGCGATAATTGCGCAGTTCGCAGACCCCCACGGGGCCGCGAGGTCTCCAATGCTCCGCGCTGCCCTGTACTCCGCCGTGCCCCTTAGGAACCCACGAAAAGGACGACAATTGCGCAATTCGACCCGCGAGGTCTCGGCTGGGTGCGCGTACAACTCTACTCCGCTGGACGCTGGACCTCCCAGGAGCCCACGAAAGCGGCCAATTCGCAGCCGCCCAGGGAGTCGCAAGCTCTCGGCTGGGTGCGCGTGCAACTCCACCCCACTAGACCTCCCAGAAGCCCACAAAAGTGGCGACCGTTGCGCCGTTCGCGGCCACCCAAGGAGCTGCGAAATCTCGGCTGGGTCCGCGTGTCCCCTCGACTCCGCTGGACCTCCCAGGAGCTCGCGATAGTGGCGAGGGTTGCGGACTTCGCAGCCCCCAGGGGGCCGCGAGGTCTCGGCTGGGCCCGAGTGTCCTCCCACTCTGCCGTGCCTCCCGTGAGCCCACGAAAGTCCCGCCTGTTTCGCTGTTCGCAGCTTCCCAGGAAGACATGCGGCCTCGGCTGGGTCCGCGTGTCCCCCCCCGCTTGGCCGTGCCTCCGAGGAGGCACGAAGGCGGCGACGGTTGCCCACTTCGCAGCCCCCAAGAGAACGCACAGGATGCAGGAGAACGCACAAGATGCAGGAAGGGGGAAGGACGGAGGAGGGGGTGGGGAAGGACACGCGCGAGCGGTTCCAAACGAGAACACCGCACACAGGAGGGTCGGGAACAACTTCTGGGGACGTCTCAAGCGAAACCGCCGCCAGACCGCCACTGGACCGCCTCCGCACAGGGCGGTCTCGAGCCCCCCGTGCCCCCTTGTGGGCCGCTTCCCATGGTCCTGTTGTGCCTTTACGAGAACCCTCTAGAGAGACGCTCTTGGGGAGAGCTGCACAAACGAAACAAATCTCGCAGGTCCGCGCGGATATCTTGGATCGACGCTGGACCCCCCCCCCTGGCGCGCGGACAGCGCCAGGAGCGGCGACGCCAGAACTGGAAGCTGTGCTCATGCTGGGACCTTCCTGGAGCCGCTCGCTCCCCTCGTGATTGAAAGCTGCGTCGAAACGTCCATCGATCCGAATCGACCTTGAGTCGAACCTGCGTCGAACCAGGGTCGAGCTTGAGTCGAACTTGGGTCGAACTAGAATCTAGAATTGAACAGATCCGTTAGGTGGGCCCCGGGAAGGTCCCCCAAACGATTACATGACCAGAGGCAGCGCCGGAGGGATCAGCGCCGATCCAAAAAACCCGCGCGGACTTCCTGCCGTTTCCCGTGAAGGACATGCGGGGACAGCCAGCGACCACAACCATATCGAGGACACACCCTGGGGGACGTCTTGCGCATGCCAAGAACTGTCAGCACACCGAAAAACCAGCTCCGTACTGGCTGTTGTCGATGTGGCGCCCCAGGACGGCCGGATCGACCACAACCACGACCGAAGGGGTCATGTCGAGGTCATTGGTATCTCACCCGGTCAGCTACACGCAGGAGTGACTCCAGGCAAGAGTAACCTTTGGTGCGCGGACTACGGGGGCGCAACGTGGCCAAATGCCAAGCACGCAAGCAGCCGCGAAAGCATCGCGCTCAGCAATCTGGGGAGACACCGACGAGCCCGCACCCAAAGGTCACTCCGCAGAGGGGGTCACTCTGGCGCGCAGTCGACCCGAGGGGCCCTCCCGAAAAGTCCGCCCAGTCATGGCCGTGGTCCCCCTGGTCGGTGCCTGGCGGGCGGGAGGGGGCGGAGGCGCGGCGCCCTCGGGAGCTGCAGGTTCCACACGCGGTAGCGGGGCCCGTGCTCCGCCTGTGGCGGCAGGAGGCATCCCGCAGCAGAGGGGGGCCCACGCGCAGCGGGGGGGCGGAGGATCGCACCGCACCGCCGAGGCACCGCCGGTGCGACGTCGGGGCGCAGATCAAAAATCCGCGCCCGGACCGTTCCTCCTCCTCGTGCTCCTCCCCCTCCTCCTCCTCCTCCTCCTCCTCCTCCTCCTCCTCCTCTCCTCCGCCTCCCCCTCCTCCTTCCGTGCTCCTCCCCCTCCTCCTCCTCCTCCTCCTCCTCCTCCTCCTCCTCCTGCCCCGTGCTCCTCCTCCCTCCTCCTCCTCCTCCTCCTCCTCCTCCTCCTCCTTTTCCTCATCTTCCTCCGCCTCCTACTCCGCTTCGGTACTAGGGTAGCGCAGTCCTCCCCTCCTCCTTCGCCTCCTCCTCGTATCCGATGCATCAGCGATGCAGCGCGACCCTACAATCCCGCCTGCTTGTGGCCCCGTTTGGGAGGCGCTGCGGGGCCTCCTCGTCCGGCAGGTGGAGGCCGCCCTGCACGGCCGCGTCGATTCGCTCCTCCGAGGGGGGGCTCGGCAGCCTCCCGTTGCTCTCCCGTGGCATCCTGCCGTTGCCGTTGCTGCCCCTATCCCTATCCCTCTATCCCTCTATCCCTCTATCCCTTAACCTATCCCTTCCATCCCGATCCTAACTTCCTGTCCCCTTCCCCATCCCGATGCCTATCCCTTTCATCCCTATCCCTGTACACCTCTCTGATTTCTTCATCGCGACCCCTATTCCTGACCCCTATCGGGGCCCCCCCCAGCGTGACCCCACCGTGCCTGTGCAAAGCTCTTCGGGGCCCTCAGCCGCAAGGTGCCATCTCAATCCGGGTGTTGCTCCTGGAGTGTTCACTGCTGGGGCCCGCTACGACATGGGGCCCGCGGGGCCCTCAAAGTGGATCCGGGGCGAGCCACTACCCCTGGGGACATGGGTCGGGACCCCTGGGGCCAGGGCGGGCCTGTCCTCCCACAGGCGGAGATTGGACGAGAAGCAAAACGTAGCCCAAACATGCACCAGGATGGCCAAAAACACAGATCGTCGACAACAATCGTCCCCCGACTATTCTTGGGGGGGCCATTCTTGAGAAGACTCCTCCTGGAGAGAGGGACAGGCCCGACCTGACTCTGGGGCCGCGCCTCGAACAGGGCCCAGCGCCGGACGCCTGGGCTCGTCGATGCTCGAGCCGCGACGGCCCTCCCCCCGCGCCCTGGAGCCTTCCAGCGCCCCCGGCCGGGGGTCGGCCTCGGAGGCGGACTGGGCAGGGGGGGGGTCGCGAAGCTCGGCCCGAGCTGCGAGCAGGGAGGTCGACTGCTACAGAATTGGCTTGCCCCAAGCTTGAAAGTTCCGGCGAAGCTCGGGGAAGGGCGTACATTATGCTGAGAAGGCGTCCTCGAACATTCGACGCAGTCTGCGCAGATTCGACCAACAACAAGAGAAGCAATTATGGCGCAACTGAATCATGTAGTCGACCTCCTACTCGGACGCTGCTGATTCTTCAAGGGCCTCCCAGCACCGGAGTCGCCACCGCATCGAAGAAAGCGCGCCTGGCGGTGGAGACGGAGCCAGCTGCGTGCAGCAGATCTCCGTCAGTCCACCCGTCGAAGAAGGGCGCGCGATGAGGATGCAAGGGCCTCAGGAGCAAGACGAAGCCAGGACGGGGATCAAACCGGGTGAGGATACATCGGGAATCTCTGAGTTCTGGCTGCGCTGGAGGATGTCTCGGGCGCAGCGGCCCTTTCAGAGCGTTCCGGAACGCTCTGAGCGCAATCTGGAACGCTCTAGAACGAATTTGCCCTCGTCCTAGCCCCGTCCGATGGAGGCCATGCCGACGCTTTGCCGGCGGGGCGCCGCCAGCGAAGGCGGCATAGGACGGGCCGAAGGGGAAGGATGCAAGGGCGACCTTGGAACGTCACCCATCCTCACTGCAGTCGGACATGGGCCCGAAAGACATCCTTCAAGAACATGAGGCCCTCCGCTGGCCAAGACAGACAGAACATCCAACGGTACTCTCCCCCTGGATGCACAAGAGCATCCAACAGACACGAAGATCACGAAGGCATCCTCCCCGAAACGACCTCGAGCTTATACCTCGCTCCTCCTCCTCCTCCTCCTCCTCCTCCTCCTCCTCCTCCTCGTCTCCCTCCTCCTCCTCCTCCTCCTCCTCCTCCCTCCTCCTCCTCCTCCTCCTCCTCCTCCCCCTCCTCCTCCCCTCCTCCTCCTCCTCGCCCCTCCCTCCCCTCGCTCCTCGCTTCGCTCGCTCCTCCTCCTCCTCCTCCTCCTCCTCCTCCTCCTCCTCCTCCTCCTCCTGCCTCGAGGGGGGCGGCTCGACGAGATCGGCCCTCGAAGAGGGCGGCGGGCTTCTCGGAGGGCATGGGGGGGCCTTCTCGGAAAGGCCCAGCGTCCGCTGAGAAGACTTCTCGGAAGCCGCGGGGGAGCTTCCAGGCCCGTGCCTTCGGGCGCGGCCCAACCGACCCCTGGCAGACCATCCCCTTCTGTCACGTCGTCCTCGCCTGTCAAGCCTCCCCCTGGCCGCACAAGGACGTCGTGGGGCGAGGCGAGGGGGACGTCACGGAAGGGGATGGTTTGCTCGGGGTCGGTTAGGCCGCCCCTGATACCTTCTCAGAGGTCCCCCGCCCCCCGAGAAGGACACCCCCCTCTTGCCACCCTCTTGTGCGCGCCGCGGGCAGCCATCGAGAATCGAAGGCCGAGGTCTTTTGAAAGCTGGGGCCCGTTGTTGTAAGCCTCCTGGGGCGCCCTCGTGGCCTCGGCTGGATCCTCCTCGGAATGTAGGCCCGAGCGCACCGGGGACATGTCTTGGCGTCGACTCCCGAGGGAGGGGTCAAAGCAAGGATCGAGGACCCCACCTCTGGCGGCTCGAACACAAAACGCGCCAGAGGCTGTTTGCCATGCTCGGCGTCTGGGGGCCGTCTCGTGGCCCTGCGACCTGGGGGGTGCCCGAGACGGTGCGGTGAAACCTGCGGTGACTGACCTCGGAGCCCCCAAAAGACTCACCCCGCACGGTCCGTCACCGCACCGTTGGGGGGACCCTGGGGGCCTCAGTCGCCCGAGCCGTCCTCGGAGAAAGGCCCAGATGCCAAAGCCGTGCGGCCACCCCGACCCCCCCCCCCCGACTCACCGCACACGGTGTGATCCCCGCACCTTCTCTCGAGGACCCCCCGATCTGCAACCGCCAGAAAGATTCCTCCTCCTCCTCCTCCTTCTCCTCCTCGCTGATCCTCCTCCTCGCTCCTCCTCCTCCTCCTCCTCCTCCTCCTCCTCCTCCTCCTCCTCCTCGCTCCTCCTCGCTCCTCCTCGCTCCTCCTCCGCGTCCTCCTCGTCCTCCTCGCTCCTCGCTCCTCGCTCCTCGATCCTAATCCTCCTCCTCCCTCCTCCTCCTCCTCCTCCTCCTCCTCCTCCTCCTCCTCCTCCTCCTCCTCCTCCCCCTCCTCCATGAAAGAGAACGGCGGCCCCGGCGAAGGGGTCGAGAGATCCGGGGGGGGGCGCCCCCATCGCGGGCCCACCGGGCCCAGCTGGGCGCGCAGCTCGGGCAAGGGAGCCAGGGAGCTTGCCCCCGAGCAGGCCCGAGGGTCAGTTCTCGAGAGGGCGAGGGCGGAGGAGGGGTAGGAGGAGGAGGGGGAGGAGGAGGAGGAGGAGGAGGAGGAGGAGGAGGAGGAGGAGGAGGAGAGGAGGAGGAGGAGGAGGAGGAGGAGGAGGAGTGGAGGAGGGGGAGGAGGAGGAGGAGGAGGAGGAGGAAGGAGGAGGAGGAGGAGGAGGAGGAGTGGGAGGAGGAGGAGGAGGAGGAGGAGGAGGGTGGGGAGGAGGAGGAGGAGGAGTAGGAGGAGGAGGAGGAGGAGGAGGAGGAGGAGGAGGAGGAGGAGGAGGAGGAGGCGGAGGAGGAGGAGGAGGAGGAGGAGGAGGAGGAGGAAGGAGGAGGAGGAAGAGGAGAGGAGGAGGAGGAGGAGGAGGAGGAGGAGGAGGAGGAGGAGGAGGAGGAGGAGGAGGGGAGGAGGAGGAGGAGGAGGAGAGGAGGAGGAGGAGGAGGAGGAGGAGGAGGAGGAGGAGGAGGAGGGGGAGGGAGAGAAGGAGGAGCAGGAGGAGGGAGGAGGAGGAGTAGGAGGAGGAGAAGGAGAAAGAGGAGGAGGAGGAGGAGAAGGAGGAGGAGGAGGAGGGGGAGGAGGAGGAGGAGGAGGAGGAGGAGGAGGAGAGGAGGAGGAGGAGGAGGTGAGGAGGAGGAGGAGGAGGAAAAGGAGGAGGAGAAGGGGGAGGAGGAGGAGGAGGAGGAGGAGGAGGAGGAGGAGGAGGAGGAGGGGGAGGAGTATGAGTATGAGTATGAGTATGAACCAGTGGCGAAGCCAGTCGATAATAAAATTGGGCTTAAACCTCAGGGCACAGAGAAACCTTCCGCTGCCGCCGTTCAAGGTCGGCCTTGCTTAGGGTTTTGGGCGCGAGCCCGTCTCTGATGCGATCAAGGTAAACCCTACCCGTGGGAGTAATATCCGTGCACGCCTTCCCGAGGGACAGAAGCTGCTGGTCCGAGAACGCACCACATCTACCACAGAACCAAATTCGGAGTGCCATATGGTAATTAAGGAGATTGGGAGGAGTGTAGCCAGCCCCCCGCGACGTGAATACGACTTCCTACAGCTGGAGACAAAAGCGTGCCATCCACATTCACAAGCGGGGGGCACACTGAGTTCCAGAATTCGGCAGTCGTGGCTTTGGAAGCCGAACCAAAACACTTCGAACACTTCTGTCTGCACTCCGAGAGCCTGTGAGCCGAGAGGAGCGGGGCGAGAGCAGCAGCAGCGGGAGGGCGGGGAAGGGGAGGAGGGGGAGGCGGGACCCCCTCTCTTTTCCTATCCCGCGCTTCCAGGGCCACGGATTTCTCAGCAACAAAACAATCGAGGGTAGCTTTGAGCAGCCTCGATCGGACCAAAAGGGCCCGCCTTTCATGAATCTGAATTTGCTGCCGAACGGATTCGGGGATCCTACACGCCAGTGCAGCGGCACCAGCTATTTCATCAACAACAGTATTGGCAAGCACGAGACTGCTGGTCGCCCGCCCCGCACATATATCCTCCTCGTCTTGGTGACTGGGAGTGAAGAGCACAGAAACACAGTGATGGGGGCGGTGGAGCATCAGCTGTCTGATGAGAGCCCACAGGTCGGCGTCGGGTCCCCTCGGCGATCTGTACGCACATTCGTACCAGCTGTTGGCCAAGGGTTCAAAATCTGTTATATACACCAGGTGGTTGCGGGTCGTTTTAAGGGCAAGCATAAACGCACACAACTCGCCTCTAGCAACAACCTGTCTTGGCCCCCAAAGCGGGCCAGAAATGGAAGATTCGACCACGAGCGGGTGGAGAGAGGCAAACTTAACAATAGCTACACCTACGCGTCGGAGCCTGGGTGATTTCGAGTCGGGACCTCCAGAGGCGTCACCCGCAACGATGACAGGCAGCTCACGGGACCCAACCCCTAGGCACCCGACTTCAACCTCGTTAACACCCGTCGCA